GTTCGTGAATTTTGTCCAAGCCCAGAAATCATTCTGCAAGGACTCTTATCCCCATGAGTAAACTTGGGCTCAGAGGAGATCAGCCGGGATCACAGACAGCACGTGCCTGAGCCACGGCCGGAGCCCCGACCCTGTGCGCTCTGCTCACGTCCTGCCGCCTGTCCCAAGACGCACTTGCCGGGCACCCCCTCTTTATAGGCACTGCGCCAAGGGCCAGGGCATCCAAGATCCACCAGACAGGCCAGAACCCCCCGGAATCTCAGGCTTGGTCTGAGTTCCCACAGAAGCAGAACGTAAGACAAGGATTAGGGGGCAGGGCGATTATTTGGAAGGGATTCCAACCGGGATAGCAGACAGAGATGGGACGTCAGTAACAAGGGGGTGTGCAACCTCAGAGGGTGACTGGGCTCACTCTCTAGGAGATGATATCTAACATGTCTGGAAATTACACAACCCAAACCAGGGAGGAGAGAGCTGGACTGCTTAGCCACCAACTTGCCACCTATCACCGGCTGAGGGTATCTTCCAAGGGAATTAAGCATTTTTGGCTTCCCACACATGTGGGCCAGTTATGCTCTTCCTGCCAAAAAAACCCAAAGAGTCCTCAGACAGACATTAACTGCAGATGGGCAAAGGAAGGCAGGGCGCTGGCATCTTTTGAGCACCTCCTGTATGCCAAGCCCAGGCATCTATTTCCCCACCTCACACAGAGAGAGGCAGCACGCAAGGAGCGCACATTTCTGGAGTCTGCATTTATAAGCTGTACTATCGCGAGCAAATTACTAAATCTTATGTCTGCTGCAAGAAGGGAATGGCTATAACGCCCACCACATAGAATAAAACATGCGTTGAAAGAGATTGTGCATGTCAAGCAGTCAGTGTATTATCTGCAACTTAGTGAGCTCTCAAAATCAGTAACATATTTACAAGCCCCAATATCCTCAGCTCATTAAATGCTTATAACGCCCTGTGATGAAACAGTCTCATGGAGGCTAAGCTATGTGGCTAATGTCGTCCAGGCTCGAAGAGCAGAATGGAAGGTTGATCCAAGTTCATGTGACACCAGCTCACAGGACACACGGGCTCCTGAGGACACGTGTCATGGAGAAAATTGGGATGTGAGTGCCTCTCTTCTCCTGCATGCCTTCTCCCCGCCCCAAGGAGCATGTGGCTCAAAGTGAGAAGGGGTCCCTAACCTCCGTCTCGCGTCTGTATTGGAGGTGAACTGCGTCCTCTCCTTTCCAGGTGTATAGCAGATCGGTTCCCCAATGCTCGACAAGGCTGCGCTGGCGATTGGAAGGTGCTCTCTAATGCTCAGTATTTCTGTGATTAATGTTTCATTGGACGGCGGGCAACAGAGATGCTATCCGGGCTCAAAAGATATAATTCAAATAAGGGACATTGTCTGTTGCACAAAACCTCCATTTAAAGATTTTTTAAAACATTTTTAAAGTGACTTTGGAAGGAAGCTCAGGAGAAGGATCAAAAGTAACACTGATGGCTTCAGGGTGGAATCTTTTTCCTTCAGTAACTGAACTGTCCTGCCAGAGATAATGATGTCCACCTGTCACCGGGAGGAGGCGGGAAAGCTGCGGAGAAAGAGCAAGAAACTTCACAGAGCCTGGCTGTCTCCCGAGGCTTTGTTAAGGGGCTGGGAGAAAAGGAGCAATTGCCCTCCCTCCTGTCCTGCCCCTGCCCTCCGTCCCCGAGCTGGGAGAGGACTGTAACGCCACTGTGATGCCCGGAAGCAGAGAGGATGAGTGGGGCGCGGTTCTGCGTGGCCTGCTAGTCCTGCCAGCCGGCCAAGCTCTTCTGTGCAAAGCTTCCTGGGGACCCCATGAGGCCAGTATCACATCCCCATTTTACAAATGAGGAGACTGAGACCCCAAAAGCTCAGTGTTCCTAACTCACAGTCTCTCAACCGAGACATGGCAGAGACTCAGTCTCAGCTCCCAGACACCAGTCACGCTGCTCCACACTCCCCGTCTCCTGCCGTCCTCAGTGCAGTGCTGCTGGGGGCTAACTCTCAGGCTCATTGCGGGGTGACCAAGGACCAGACAGACGACCGGAGAAGGGCCAGGACTCACCAAGGTCACCCAGGCAGTGCCTGGCACAGCTGGACCTTGAACCAGCGTGGTCTGGCTTCAGCCTACATCACAACCGGTGGGCATGTGGGAGAACTTGTGCATGACTTGTTTTCCTTAATGGTTCATTTTAGTTACTTTTAGTTCATTTTAGTTATTTTAGTCATTTTTGTCATAATTAGATTCTTGTTTTACGCTATAGTACCAATAAAAGTAGTTCAAATATACTTGAAAGTTGTATTAATTTAGTCTTTTTTCTAAAACAAACAAACAAATGGAGCTGGAAAACTAACTCACTCCGAGAGAAATTGGTGTTATAGTTGTTACCATGTAGCAGGTACATACAAATTCGTATGTGTGTCTAAATGTACACATAGGTATTGCTATAGACATACATGTTTTATATATACAAATATGTTACATACACTCAAATTAATACACGTGCACACATGTCTCCTGGTATTGCTTGGAATTATTAACCATTGTTGAATAAACTGACACTTGAGCATAGAGCTGCCCACACAAGAGGCATCTTGATTACAAAGCAAGACCTGAAGTTCAAGGTTTTTCCCTTGTGACTTTTAATTTAGCATTCGTCCTTGGAGCCACTGTTCACCTTCTTTGTCCACGGTACCTTTATCCATGGTCTACCTTTCCAGATAAGCCAACACATGTACTTCTCATCCAACCTCAAGATCAGCCAAAGCTGCCTGCCTGTGTCTCAGAAAGGCTGTCGGGGTCCCCAAACTGAATGTTACCTATGCCGCAGAGCCCGAGTTTTCTATCTTGCCACCCCAAACCCAGTGTGCAGAAATCCGTCTGGCCATTTTTGTTTGATGTGGTGACAGAGGGAGGAAATGTTAAATTTATTACAGAGTTTTATTTATACCTCCATTTATTCTACAAAGTAGCAAAGGTGGTATAAGTAAGATGTGCATCTAGATGGCTCATATATCATCTCTGTTCCAGAGGGCTGCATATTTCATTCCATTTGAAACTAAACACCATCAGGTCGTTATGTAAATAACAAAATGGGATGTGTCATTTCTTTGAAGAATAACTGATAAATTATATGTGATCATTTTGGTATTGATTAAATTAACCGAATAAGCATTTGCCTTACTATGAACCCCATATGTTAAAAACTTGTCTTAGAATATAAGCCAGGGTCCAGCAAAAGGTTAGATCTGGAGTAGCGTGTGTGCGCTCACCTGGCCTCACCCTAACTCCCCAACAGGGTCACTGTTCTTTCCCAAACAGCAAGCCCCCTGCCTACCATTCTTACTAACTCAATGCAATTCCCTTTGAAACCCAAGCTGATGTAATAATGACATTGCACCAAGTAACAGATAAGTTCAATTATATTATCCACTTGCATTTCTTATCTACATCTAAAACAGGTTGTGCTTCCTTTCTTTTCGTTAAAACTCACATCTCTAAGTATGTTTGGAGCACCTTTAGGCACATTCATTGTGAGTTTTTTTCTTATTTTCTGTGTGTGAGAGAAGAAAGGCTAATTTGAGTGGTTAACCTCCATCTCTTTCTCAAAGTCATCAGCGGAGTCAATGTTTGGTTTGTCTTAAAGCCACCAGTTTCATCCATTCCCTTTGAATCCATCGATTAGATTTCACAATGTAAGCAATACGATTATTACATCAAACCCCTTTATTTTTTAGATAGTCTACCTGAAAACCAGAGAGGGAAAGTGAATTATCCAAGGTCACACAGCAAGTTCATGGCAGAGCTGGGACTAGACCCAAGTGATCTGAGTCCAGGTTGATCTTCCATTTCATGTAAGGTGCCTCTGCAAGAGAGTAGTGTTGGCCTGTCTGTCCCAGCCTTTGGCCATGGTCCATGTTGCCCAGGGTGACTACTCTTTAATTCCCTAAAATTGTACACAGGGTGAGCTCCAGAGGCTCTCCATGCAAACCCTGCCTGATTTTTCCATTCTCATTCCATTTCCACAATGTCCACGTCTAGAAGGGCTGCCAAATCTAGATCTCATTTTAGAAGAGGGTTTATACTCTGAGCCAATGCATTTTCCAAGGGATGAGCTAAACCTGGGTATGGCTCAGGTAGCAGGGGCTAAAATAATCACAAAACGAAAAACAGGTCCTTCTGGGCATTGACTTCAAATATCTAAAGAAGAGGTTTTGGTGTACACAAGAAATCAAAACTGTCCCCACAGAGTGAAGCTAGAGCCATTCAAGCATCCAGTGCATTTGTACACTAATTGACGACCTTTCTGTCAATTACAGTTGGCCAAAAAAATGGATGTATGTGAAGGAAAGGATTGCCCAAACCAGGTGCAAGGTAGCTCATCACCATAGTCAAGGCAGATGTGGGTTCATGTCTTAGCTCTGACTTGAGAACTATGAGACTTTGTAGCTGCACAAAAGGCAAACATGCTGAAGAAGAAGATGATAATGAAGATGAAGGTGACAATGATGAGAAAAATGGTGATGAGGAAGACAAGGGTGTGATAACAATATAAATAAAGGCTGCTTCTGCCAATAATGTTGAGTAAGAGATCCTCGCATAGTGTGGGAAGTGGAGGAGACAGGTGGCATCCAAGATTTTCCACTTCCCCTGAGATTCTGTGACTCGTAAGCAGTTGAATGAAAATAACAAAGCTTTAGAGCTGGTTCAACAGCAGGTCAGATCCAGCAGGTACAAACTACAGGATCTTGGTCAGATTATTTATGTTCTTTGAGCCTATTTTTAACCTTGGAATATGGTGATGAAATATCTATCACACAGGGTGGTAAACAAAATTAATACATTTCAATTTCGTAAAGTACCTTGTCACAACTCCAAGCACACGGGAGTCACTCAGTGAATATTAATCCATCTTTGATGAAACAGGAAAGGAAGTGATGGGTGTTGATCTGGAGAACTGATGGCCAAAGACCCACAATGGCTGGATCTCAGATTGGGTACGCAGTCAAGGGTAGGTCCTGCTCATCCCCAGGACCCAAGGATGTGGTGGCAGACACGCAGATCATGTCCAGTGTGGCCAGTGGCATTGAGTCCTTGCACTGCTGGGCACTGAGCATTCTGAGTGAACCACCTCCTAAGCACACGCCCAGTAACAACTGTGTCCCCGTGGATAGGCACCCAACCCGAAAGAGCAGTCGGTGCACCCTCTGGGACTGGCAGAAGATGGACTGATGTTAGCCAAAGCCACCCAATGTGCACGGACACTGTGTGTCACTGGGCAGTGGCCTAGACTGGACAGAAGATTCCTTTACAGACAGGTAGGGGCCAAGTATCTTAGTATGGAAACCAGTTGACAGTTTCAACCGAGATGCTGTATTGCATGAGTGAATGCTGACTGCAGAACTCCAGAAGTGCACCAGCTGAGGGCCATGTGACTGAGGAAGCTCTTGCACCAACAGGGCCCTACGACAGCATGGTGTTCCCAATCATCAGCCTGTGTGACCCGTTGAAGGTATAGGGTCCCCGCAATGACCTGATGCCAGGAAACTGTGAGTATTGGCAGGGCCCAGAGCATTGGAAAGAAACCGATGCCTCAAGAGATATTTCTAGAGCTCCCAAGAGCCACACAAGTCCTAATCAGGGTCCCGGGCCCAGCAGGGCTTGGTTTAGAAGCAGGAGGATGATACTGCAGAGGCTGCTACCCAGAAACTCTGAGGGAGGCCTGCTGCAGAGATGCGTGCACAGAGCGTCCAGCATGGGGCACTCGGAAGAGCTTCCAGGGGAAGGTCCCCGGAGCTGGTTCAATGAGGAAACAGCTGTTTGAAATGCAGAGACGGAGGAAGAGCTCCCAAGTAGGGGGTTGCCACCTGAGCAAAGATGAAATTTGTTTAGAAAAACAAGCGCAGTCTCAGGAAACCTTGCTGAGCGCTTGCTGTGTGCGAGGCCTGCGCAAGGCCCGGGGAGACGAGGAGGGAGGAGGTGCCAACCCGGGCAGCCCTCCCCGGCCTCCCCCTTCACGGGGCCGAGTTAACGGGCTCCCTTCACGCAGCAGGACTACGACGTAGGTTAAAGAGACAGGTAAGAACTGCAGGTGGAGCAAGGTGGGAGTCCGGGGTCTTGCAGGCCAGATTTAACATACTGACCCGTACCAGGGCGTGCTTCAGAGCTAGCGAAGCTATCACAGTCACCCCATTTTCTGATTTAAAACAAAAGTAAACAAACAAAAAGACATTTTAAAAAACTTTTAAGCAAATAGATTGGGGGCGAGGTGCCGGGGAGGTGATGTTTGAAATGCCATTTGCTGCCTTCCTGGAACGACAGACTCTGAAAATGCCTGATCTTCCCTCGGAGGCCACCAGGCAGGTGGGGCCGACTGGGAGTCTCAAGACGTTCCAGGATCTGCTGAGCCAAGCTGGGGTTTGGGGTTTGGAAGATGGGCTCCCCTGGGGAGGCTCCTCTGACAAGCTGTCGTCAGCGTCCACGTGGAATTAGGAGAGCCCGGGGGAAAGAGCGACATATACACAGGCTGTTTTACCTGGGGATGATCAGATTTCAATCAGATGCTCCCTCCTCACCTGCGATCAGTTTTCTTCTCTGTTTGAAGATGGGGATTTGAACCGAGTGAGGGGCACAGGCCGCCTGGCTCTTTCTTGGGCCATCTCAGCTGCCAAAGGAGTACCTCCTGCCCCGGACCCTCTCTCCAAGCCCTGCGCCCACGGCTGACCCGCCCTTCTGCTGGGGGCTGCCTGGGCCCCTGGCACCCGCTGTTCCAATCAGGAGCTCTCACCCTCTGTGATGTCTGGCCCCTGTGGTTTGTGTCTCTGCAGAGGACACCTATCCACGGCGGCTCAGGATAGGAAGTCGGGCCGCTCCTGTCTCTCACACTCCTAGCATCCTAAAGATTTCATCTCTAAAATTTTCTTTTTGACTCTGCTCCTTTTCTGCCTCCCTCCAACTGCCGTTCACTCTCTCCTCACCTCCTGGCAGCGCTGTTCTTCCCCAATAGGGTCCCTCGCAAACTTGTCCTCCCGTGATATGTATAATAGTTCCTGTGCAAACCTGCTTCTGCCCCTCCCTGCACCTAGAGGACCCAGTCCCATGGCTCAGCAAAACTTCAAAAGTCCTTCTCGACCTTGTCTGTTCACCTCCAGCAACACCAGAGAGCTTGCACGCCCCAGCTCAGATGCTACGCCAGGTGGGTTCATACTTTCTACCTCCTTAGTTTGTCTACGTCCTGGACGACTCACGTCAGGTTTCAGCTCCTCCAGAGAGTCTCTGCAGATTCCTCACCCCACCCCGGGGCTGGGCTGGGTCCCATGTCCCCCTGTGGCTACAGCTCCCCTGGCCCTGGGTGCTACACCTTGACACTCGTCGAATCTTGCACAGTCTCGACTGTGTGTCTGTGTAAGCTGCTGGACTGTGGGCTCCTTGGGCTCAATCTCTCTCTGCTCCAGCACCAACTTCAGTTCACGCCACTGTCAGTGCTGAAAAAGTGTCCAACCCATGTGTAATCAATTAATCTCCTCTCTCAAGAACAGAGCCACGCTCACAGCTCCAGAATCCCTCCCCGTATAGTCTCAGAACCAGAGGGAAACTTTCTCGCCCCTGCTTTACAGATGTGGAAACTGAGGCCCAGAGAGGGGAAGACTCCCGTGCCAGGCCTGCAGGGGCCCAGGACCCGACACTGGTGCAGGGTGCCCTGCCTAGCAGCTGCACCACCCTCTCTCCCTCTCCTGTCTGCTCACACTGGCCCCAGGGCCAACCTGAAGCCTACTCATAAAACCCCAGCTTGCCCTGAATCAGCTTCATTTGCACTAAGAATCAACCTTGGATAAAGGCAGAAATCAGGGTATTGATCTTGAAACTACAGTCAGTGAACACCCGCAGCTCCCTAAGGCCCTTGCTGCCGGTGACCTCTGGAGGCCAGGATATTAATTTGAAGTTCAGCTCAACTCTGAACCCCCATTCCAAATATTCTTCTCAAATTCCAATTCTGTGGTCTGTGTGGACCTATCCTGGACTCACCCACCAGACTGCAGGATCCCGAAGGACAGCCCTGAGGGTTTCATCTGTCACCTATCAACACCTTCTTCTACCTCAAGTCAAAAATCAAGCATGTAGTAGGTGCTCAGGCAACAGCGGCTATAGGAATTCAGTTCTGACTCTTGGAACAGGATGTCCCCACCTTCCCAGGCAGATTAGAGCCTCGAGCAGGCAGGAAGGTCCGATAGCTACGCAGGGCTATGTGCGTGCCACGGGCCATGCGTTTAGATTCCTGGCTCATCTAATCCTCACTGCCATCGCAGGAAGTGGTCACTCTTACTGTTCCCATTTTAGAGATGCGGAGACTGAGGTTGAAGGAGGTTGTGCTGATATAAGTATGTGTCCGGCTGTGCCCACACTGCCCACGGTTTGTCATTTTCCAGGTGTCTCCTGGAGGAATGAGGCCGCATCATATTCAACTTCATAGGCTTATTTCTCTCAACCTATGATAAAAACCTGGATGGCAGGACACACACCTGAGGCCAACGTGAGAGTCACCCAAGAGGGCAAGAGCCCAATGCCAAGAGGTGGCATCAAAACCCATTTGGATTACACTTAATTAAGACAAGTTCTTTTTCTTTTATTCCATTTTTTTTTCCCTTTTGTCAAGGCTGCACTATTGGCTTGTGCTGTCTAAAGAGAAAATAGTTAATTGGTTTATTTAGCCAACTATAGATGTATTCAGTATTATTCTTCATCGCGTGCATTAAATTAAGTAGTTTATTTACCCCCATGCAATCCATTCAGTTCATTTAATTTAATTTCATAGTTATAATATGGGGAACAAACTAACTAGATTTCTCCCTTTGGGATGGAAATGGGCAAATATTTTGGTTCTGAATTAACAAGCAGCAAAGCTGATATTTATAATAAATCATCCATTGTTAGCCATCCTGATAATTATTCCGTGAATGGTCTAAAACAGACATGGGCATGTAACAGACACATTGTTGGCTTTTACTGCAGTTTGGTTCTTTGTGTTAATGAACAATCTAAACTGAAAACTCAGAGATGACTCCAGAGAAAATAGGTTTGTTTCACAGACATGAATTGAGCACCTACTATGCGCCTGGCACTGGGAAACAGCTTCAAATGCTCACACCAACCCCTGCTTAAAACACGTCTGCGTCTCAGGTCCCCTACAGGAAGACGCCCAAGCCCCTGAGAAAGCCTTGCAGGCCCCACAGGCCTGGCCCCGCTGGCTCCCCGCCCTCAGCTCCTGCCCCTTGCTCCCGCTGCCCACTTGCCTCCCAACATTTGCCGTGACTTCCGCAATGCTGAGCTACTTGCAGCTGCGAGAACTTGCCGAGCTGCATTGTGACTGTGGGTCTTGGCTTCCTCTGTCCTCGCCTCCTCCTTCTCTCCCCTCTCTCCCCCGTGAACGCCAATTAATCATTCAAACTTCACTTTCGTTTGTACCTGCTCTAGGTAGACTGCCCTAAAATGCCACCAACAGAGTTGATACCACCCTCCTTCATGGGGGCCGCTGGGCATGGCCAGCATCTCACCCCAGTGCAAACGGCCTTATCTCCCCACACTGAGAGTGTGGCTTTGGCCACCCCTGGATCAGGGAACAAGCCAGCCCCCACCTCCTACTCTCTCACCTGCAATCCCCACACCCCTAAAATGGGGCCGATAATAATACCTTCCTGGCATAGTTGTTTGTTTTGAGGATTAATTGAGGTTACAGTGTGTAAAGGATTAAATGCCAATGTATGTAATAGCAAACCTCCCATAAATATTAATTATCACTGTCTATTTCTATCTCACACTTTCTACTAGATGATGAGTTGCCGGAGAGTCAAGACTTTGTCTTATTTCATCTTGGGATTCCCGGTGAATAGCACAGCGTTTGGAACAGAATATTTTTCTTCCTTAAATGCGTATTTCATGATTTATGAATATGGTTGGAGAATTTTGGATGACAATTAAGGCACATCCAGGCAATGGAAAAGGAGAGGAGAAAGGGGGGAAGGGTCTGTTATTTGAGGAGCACCAAAAATTGCAGACAGGAGCTCCCTGCTCTTCGATAGATCTGGAACCTCCCGTGGAGAACAGGGCCGACGTTAGCAAAATTGGTTGAGCTGGGAGCATGTGGATATCCGGCTGCTCGCAACTCACACCAGTTGGGGAGCTTTTGAGAAGTACAAGTGCCCACTAGGAAAAAAAAACGCAAAGTCTTGGGCTGACCCAGTCTTCAAATCCCATCACCTAATAAGGGTAAGCTCCAGAGACGTCCTTTTCAGGAAAATGAGCGAATCCTAAGAAAGAGAACGGGGGATGTTTTCTTTGAATGAGGGGAGCAGATCCAGGAAGAAAAGACATTCAAAGCCTGACAGATCCACGTCTGAATCCCAGCTTTGTTACGAGGTGGGTCATCTGGGGCTATTCACCCCCTGCCCTGGGCCGAAGATCCCTCACCTGCGAAAGGGGAGGACAGTAGGAGTTTTCAGGTGAGGGTGGGCAATG